GACGGCTATTGAAGTGTTCTCTTCTAGTGAAGGCTGTAGCTTTTTCCGGTTGCGAAAGAGATTGGTAACATCAATTTCATTCTTCATTGCATCCTCGTATTTCTATTTGCATGATTTAGGTCTTCTATATATTTGATTGTGAATGTGATAACATGACTAATGGAACTCTTGATACATCTTCAACTCCAACAATTTCTCGCACTGTATTTCATGAGGATGATTATACTCATCCATGTCATCCTCTCTATGTTCATCCATCAGATGTTTTGAGGTACCTCGTTAGTATCCACCCCGTTTGATGGAACAGGATATGGTAGTTGGAGGCGTAATGTCCTGTTGCAATCTCAATTAGAAACAACTAGATTTATAAATGGAAATTCCCAGAAGCCTTCACCTGTTTCACCTCTTGCCAGACAATGGCAGAGGTTTAATGACCTTGTCATCTCCTGGTTATAAACGTCCTTGTCTAAGGAAATATCTCTNTTGCTAGGGAAATTCAGCACGAGTTAGAAGAGAGATATGGTAAGGCCGATGGTGTTGAAGTCTTTGAACTTAAGAAAGAGTTAGCACACATTTCATAGGGGTCTTTTGACATAGCCTCATATTTTAATAAAATCAAACAATTGTGGGATGAGATAGCTTCCAAATCTGCTGGTCGAACTAGGGTATGTTCTTGTGGGGCTAAGTCTACAGAAGACGAGGAACAAAGGGCTTATCAGTTTTTGATGGGTTTGAATGATACATATGTCTAAACCAGGAGTAATATTCTGATGATGAAGCCTCTTCCTTCAATTGGGGCTGTGTATAGCATCATATTATCTGATGAGAAACAGAGGAATGTGTCTTCTGGGACTCAGTTTCCTTCTACCTCTGCATCTTTTAGTGCTGGGGTGTTCAAGCAGTGTTATCCTTCTAAGGTGAATTTTGAACCATCTAAACCAAGTGTCACATACAAAAACTGTAAGACACCTGGCCGTACTATAGACAAGTGCTACAAACTCCATGGTTATCCCCCAAATTTCAAGTTTACTAGATCTCCTAACCTCAGAAAGACTGCTGCACATGTTGAACTTACCAGTCATGCTAAATTTGGGACTGGTGACATATTTACTGAGCATGGTACTCTTTCACAGTCCGAAGATATGTCTGATATCTCTGGACTTACCAAGGATCAATATTCTCAATTGACGTTGTTGCTTCAACAATCACATATATCTCCTTCTCCATCTACAAGAGTACAAAATTAGAGTAAATACTATAATTAGTCTCAAATACCCAAAGAGAATAACCTCACAAGATCATTCCAAAGAAAAGGTTCACACAAGTATTTCCAAACACTCAACTCTCTTACAAAATAATTTTAATAAATTAAGGAGGAGAAAGAAATATAGGAGTGAAAAGCTCTTGAATTGGTGTGTCTACAAAAGATGAGATGTTAGAATAGGCCAATTAGATGTATTAGATGCTGGTTAATGTTTTGGGCCTAGTTTTCTTTCTTTACTCTTGTATTTATAGTTAGCCCAGTTGTACAGCCTATTTTATTTTTCATTCTTTCCGGGTCACTATAAATAGTGAAGACCGGTCATGTAATAAAATGCAATGATTCATTTTCAGTACACAGAAGAGAATGGTCTCGAAGCTTCTGTTCTCTGCATACATGGTGTGAACCCTAGCTTCTAATCTTCTTCGTTTCCTCCATTTTCTTCATGTTAACATGGTATCAGAGCCGAGATCCGTCTAAATCTCGTGCTGAGAATTCGATCAATCCTTCTAAGGTGAATTTTGAACCATCTAAACCAAGTGTCACATGCAAAAACTGTAAGAAACCTGGCCATACTATAGACAAGTGCTACAAACTCCATGGTTATCCCCCAAATTTCAAGTTTACTAGATCTCCTAACCTTAGAAAGACTGCTGCACATGTTGAACTTACAAGTCATGCTGAATCTGGGACTGGTGACATCTTTACTGAGTATGGTACTCTTCCACAGTCTGAAGATATGTCTGATATCCCTGGACTTACCAAGGATCAATATTCTCAATTGATGTTGCTGCTTCAACAGTCACATTTGTCTCCTTCTCCATCTACAAGAGTACAAAATTAGAGTGAATACTCTAATTAGCCTCAAATATCCCAAGAGAATAACCTCACAAGATCACTCCAAAGAAAAGGTTCACACAAGTATTTCCAAACACTCAACTGTCTTACAAAATACTTTTAATAAATTAAGGAGGAGAAAGAAAGATAGGAGTGAAAAGCTCTTAAATTGGTGTGTCTACAAAAGAGGAGATGTTAGAATAGGCCAATTAGATGTATTAGATGCTGGTTAATGTTTTGGGCCTAGTTTTCTTTCTTGGGCCTAGTTTTCTTTCTTTACTCTTGTATTTATAGTTAGCCCAGTTGTACAGCCTATTGTATTTTTCATTCTTTCAGGGTCACTATAAATAGTGAAGATCAGTTATGTAATAAAATGCAATGATTCATTTTCAGTACACAGAAGAGATAATGGTCTCGAAGCTTCTGTTCTCTGCATACATGGTGTTAAACCTAGCTTCTAATCTTCTTCGTTTCCTCCATTCATGTTAACATGGTATCAGAGCCGAGATCCGTCTAAATCTCGTGTCGAGAATTCGATCAATCCTTCTAAGGTGAATTTTGAACCATCTAAACCAAGTGTCACATGCAAAAACTGTAAGAAACCTGGCCATACTATAGACAAGTGCTACAAACTCCATGGTTATCCCCCAAATTTCAAGTTTACTAGATCTCCTAACCTTAGAAAGACTGCTGCACATGTTAAACTTACCAGTCATGCTGAATCTGGGACTGGTGACATCTTTACTGAGTATGGTACTCTTCTACAGTCTGAAGATATGTCCGATATCCCTGGACTTACCAAGGATCAATATTCTCAATTGATGTTGCTGCTTCAACAGTCACATTCGTCTCCTTCTCCATCTACTTCAAACTTAATGGGATCAACCAATTTTGCTGGTGAAAAGTCTTATGGTGCATTTATGTTGACCAAAGTGGATGGTATAGTGTGGATCATAGACTTAGGGGCTTCTGACCATATGACTTCCACTAGAAATTTACTCTTTAATGTCCAAACCTTACCTGTTCCATACCTTGTTTCTCTTCCAAATGGGTATAAAGTCAAGGTTACCAATATTGGATCATTGACTTTATTGCCTGACTTAATATTGTACAATGTACTTTATGTTCCTAGTTTTCACTATAATCTCACTTTTGTCCACAAATTACTCTCTCATTGTGATGAGACGGTACAATTTACCAAGGTTGTTTAAACTTTACAGGGCCCTTCAGTGAGGAAGCCAGTGGTACTTGGTAAGTTGGACAATGGACTCTACAGGCTGTTTCAGTCTGTCATTGTTCCTCTCCCAAATTTTTCTTGCTCATCCTGTTGTTTCAAATGTTTCAGTTTCTAATTCTTTAGTTCATGCTAGCGTAACTGATGAATACTCCCTTGTAAATACCACATAAGCTATTGATAATATGAATAAAGCTGAGGTTGTTTGGCATTACAGACTTGGGCATATTCCTTTCTCTAAAATGAAAACTATATCTGCTATAAATTGTAAATTTCCTCTTAAACAATCCTTTAGTTGTCCTATCTGCCCCTTAGCCAGGCAAACAAGACTGCCTTTCCCTGATAGTAGCATACAGTCCACTCACTTATTCCAATTAATTCACATAGATACTTGGGGACCTTATCACACACCCACTTATAATATTTCCAAGTATTTCTTGACTATTGTTGATGATTTCTCAAGGGCCACTTGGACCCATTTTATGTGAGCCAAGAGTAATGCTTTTGATTTACTCAAGGCTTTCACTGCCATGGTTGAAACTCAATTCCATACTAAGGTTCAAGCTGTCAGAAGCGATAATGCCTTAGAATTGGGCTTTAGTGCCTCAGGTTCTCTTTTCTTTTCTGAAAAAGGAATTCAACATAAGACTTCCTGCCCACACACTCCTCAACAGAATGGAGTGGTGGAAAGGAAACACATACATTTGCTTGAAACTGACAGAGCTCTATTACCATTAGGTTTTGGGGAGACTGCCTTCTCACTGCCACCTACTTGATCAATAGGTTTTCCTCTCCTCTCCTTAATCACAAAAGCCCTTATGAATTGTTATATGGTTTTGTTACTTCTTACTCTCATCTTAAAGCTATTGGTTGTTTGTGTTACTCTACCATAACTAAGTTGCACGAGGACAAATTCTCTCCCAGATCCATTCCATATGTGTTTGTGGGTTATCCTTTTGCTAAGAAAGGTTATAAACTCTATAGTCTCACTTCCAAATCCTGTTTCATTTCTAGGGATGTCATTTTCCTAAAACACATTTTTCCATTCTTTAAGGTTTCCAATCAGTCTTCTCACATTCTCCCTTCTCCTTTATCCATTTTCTTTGATACTGATTGTTCTGTAACCCCTTCTCTTTTATCTTCTCCTTTACCTGTTTCTTCTTCAACTACTGCTCCTCCTTCTCCTGTTCTGCATTCTGCTCCTAGTCCTTCTCTAAACTCCCACTTCACCTCCTAGTAATTCACCTCATGTTTATTCACCTATTGATCATTCAGCTCCCTTATTCTCCTTTGCCTGTTTTGAGAAGATCCTTTATACCACACAACCCTCCTAGTTATCTCAATAGCTATGTTGTCAATATTTATCCTTCAATTCCATCTCAGTCCCTTCTGTTGGTCAGTTGCATATCCCAAAGCCTCATTCATATTCTCAGGCAACCACCATTCTTGAGTGGCAAGATGCCGTGAAGAAGGAATTTTAGGCTTTGGAAGTCAATGGGACTTGGGAAATTGTTGAATTGCCACATGGCAAGAAACTTATTGGGTGTAAATGGGTTTATAAAGTGAAATATAGGGCTGATGGTAGTATAGAAAGGTACAAAGATAGATTGGTGGTATACTCAAGTGGAAGGGGTTGACTTTCATGAAACATTCTCCCTTGTTGTCAAAATGTCCACTATTAAGACTTTAATTGGTGTGGCCATAAAGAAGCAGTGGTCTCTGTTCCAGCTTGATATCAGTAATGCTTTCTTGCATGGTGATCTTGATGAAGAGGCTTTCATGAAGCTTCCCCCTAGTCTGTCTGTTCCTGCCTCCACATCTTCTTCTACATCTTTGGTCTACAAGCTCCAAAAATGCTTTTATGGGTTGCGGCAAGCTTCTAGACAATGGTATGCTAAGCTATCTCAAGCCCTCTCTTCTAGAGGTACATGCATTCTCTCAATGACTATTCTGTCTTCACTAAGGGTTTTGGGGCTTCTTTGGTTATATTGGCTGTTTATGTAGATGACATCATCTTAACCGGTATTGACTTGACAGAAATTTCTGTCCTAAAGAGCTATCTCCATGATCGGTTCAAAATCAAGGACTTGGTCTCCTTAACTACTTTCTTGGTATTTAAGTTCTCTATACTTCTTCTAGGGTTTTGTTGCATCAAAGAAAATTTATTCATGACCTTTTAGATGAGTTTCACTCTCTTGAGTGTTCCTCTGTCACCTGCCCCTTGAATTAAATGTGAAGTTGAAAGCCAAGGAAGGTGAACTTTTACCTAAACCTGAAGAGTATACAAGTGTTATAGGCAAGCTGAATTTTTTAACCCATACCAGACTTGACCTCAGCTTTGCAGTCCAGCATTTGAGTCAGTTCATGCAGCAGCCTTGCCTCCCACACATGAAGGCTACTCTTCACCTTCTCAGATATCTCAAGGGTTCTGCTGATTCAGAGATCTTTTACAATAATGATCCTGATATGTCTTTGAAGGTATTTTATGATAGTGACTGGGCCTCTTGCCCTAACAGTAGGAGGTCAGTCACTGGTTTCTGCATCTTCCTTGGTGGTAGTTTGGTGGGTTGGAAGTTTAAGAAGCAACCTGTGATTTCTCTTTTCTCAACAGAAGCAGAGTACAGATCCATGAGCAAGGCAGTGACTGAAGTCACTTGGTTGTCCAGGCTGTTCTATGATTTTGGTGTGCTTCTTCCCTCACCTGTGCCTATATTTTGTGATAGCTAGGCTGCCCTTCATATTGCAAAAAATTCTGTTCTTCATGAGAGGGCAAAGCACATAAATTCGATTGTCATTTTGTACGTGCCAAACTTGGTGATGGGTTGATCTCTCTTGTCCACACTCCCAGTGTTTCTCAGACTGCTGATATACTCACCAAGGTTCTGCCCGGTCCTGCTCATCACATACACACTCACAAGTTGGGGGTTTTGTCACCCTCCAACTTGAGGGGGGCTGTTAGAATAGGCCAATTAGATGTATTAGATGCTGGTTAATGTGTTGGAACTAGTTTTCTTTCATTACTCTTGTACTTATAGTTAGCCCAGTACAACCCATTGTATTTTTCATTCTTTCCGGGTCACTATAAATAGTGAAGCCTAGTTATGTAATAAAATGCAATGATTCATTTTCAGTACATAGAAGAGACAATGGTCTCGAAGCTTCTGTTCTCTGCATACATGGTGTGAACCCTAGCTTCTAATCTTCTTCGTTTCCTCCATTTTCTTCACGTTAATAGGAGAAACTCCTTTATTTATAGCAAGAAATCCTTGGCCTCTAAGTTTGTTACAGTAGATATGATGTCATAGCAAATATCGTGAAAACTTGGTCCCCAAGTTTATTCTTCTGCCATGTATTCTTGTAAATAGGCTTATGCCTATATGAGATGGCCTCACTTGAAAAGAAGCCAAATTAATGGCCACATTACACCTTTGAAGCAAAGCAAGAGATTATGTGAGTCTTGTAAAAAATAATAATATGTATTTGCAATCTTAGAGTATATGGAGGAGTTATGAAGTGTTGAAAGTAACACGTCCGTTCTAAGTTGATAGCTTTACTTTTAATTTCTAATGTTTGATACAGTAGCTTAGATAGTAAAGTTGTATAGGATCGAAATAAACTGTTCTTTATCTAGCTATGCAAAGCTATGCTATGTTTTATTCACTTTAATTAGTGGTTAATAAATATATTTAATTATCAGAAAAGAAAAGAAAACTATTTTGAGCAAAGCCCAACCTTAGGGCTGATTTTGCAAAATTTGTCTAACTTTATCAGTTAGATATAGACGGATCCCGTCTCATTGGATTATTCTTCCACCACTTTTTAAAACTCGGAGAACTATTAGTGCTCTAATTTATACGTTATATACCATTTAAGTGAAGACGGAGAAAACATGAAGACATTGTTATAGTAATTGTGAGCACGTGATTTTGCCCTATATGAATTATTCCCATAAAATATCATAAAATCATTTTTCCCAATTTTTGCAATTTTATAGGGATTTTTGTAGAATGTTATTAATTATTCACATTTTTGTGCGTATTTAAATTCCATTAAAAATCAAAAAATTACCAAAAATACCATGCATTGCATTTAGATTTTGTGTTTACATTTTAGGATTAATTAATTAATGAGTCGCTTTAGTTAAAATGAAAATTACAAAAAATGACTCATTTTTACATTCTTAGCTTTTAATTTTGGATTATTGAGTTTTCTCTTTCAATTTAGGATCAACTAGTTTTTATAAACATTATAGTTAGATAATTAGCTTAATTTTACAATTTGAATAAATTTAGGAGTTTAATTTAGGGTTTTAATTAATTAAAGAAAGAAAAGAAAATTAAAACAAAAAGCTGGTTTTAATTTAAATTGGACCAAACTATTTTAAAAGCCCAAATCTTTTCCTAACTTAGTCCAAACCGGATTGACCCAACACCCAATACCCAATACCCAACCCTAAGACCTAAACCTATAAAGCTAGACCTAGAGTAACGCCTAAAGGGAACAAGAAAAAGAACGCCCAAGAGGAGGCTTCAGCTGCGCAGCTTTTGACAGGACCACCCCCCACCCCCCTCGGATCATCTCCTTCATACCCACCCTCCCCAGCCTGAAATTGATTTTCTTCAACACCCAAAACAGTTCCTCCATCGAAGACATAGACACCACCAAACGCCGACCCCTGTAACCTGCGCCGCTGCTCACCCAAACGACCCTTGAACTTCCGGCATTGTCTCTGTCCAAACGACCTTCACTTCGTCGGACATTACTCAACCAGACGAGCTCCCTCGTCAAAACAAAAAAAAAAAATTCACTCCTTCACTGCCTATACACACACGCTCATTCCCTCCTCACTGTCGTCGGAATACACACTCAATTCATCGCCGGAGATTATCAAAAAGCACACACGATATAGTAGAGGACAAGTTCTGCAATTTGAAAGTTCCAAAATAGATTTGAAAGAGAAAAAGTTTCTGTTACAGAGAGTAGAATTAAATAAGTTTCTACTTTAGATTTTCACTCATGGATTTTGTTTGAAAGCTCCGTTGTTGTGTCGTGGCTCAGTGGTGTCGTTTGAGGCCAGTCCGAGGTCCGTTAGTCGAATTTTGTCGCCGATTCGAGGCTCCGTCTGAGCCACTGTCAGATTGGAGTTCTTCCGGCGAAACTCGGTCAGTCCATTGCTTGCCGAGGGTCTATTCGTGTTCAGCGCATAGTGCTGTATTCTTCTTGTAACCCGTTGGAAGATCGTTACTATATTGAAAGGCTTCAAAGGTCCGTTATTTTCTTCTTTATCGTTTTGCTTGGATGGTTAAATTTCTATAATCTGTTTGGGTTGAAATTAAATGGTGTTATTAATATGCTTCGTGTTGTTGATTCATTAGTGACATTAAAATGTAGCATCCGTAGAGTTTAATCCATAATAGCAGGCTTGGATTTATTTTTTTTAAAATGATATGAATGCTCATCGTTAAGTCCTGATGCATTTTAGTTTTCTTTTACCCTCTTGGTTCTCACGTTTTAGACTTGGTTCTTCTTCAAGGATGGAATGATAAGATTTGAGTCAAAATAATAGTTGGACCCCTATTTGCTAATTTACGTGAGTTGTATGGTCACTTGGTTTAATTTGATTGAATAAGTAGTTGTACCACATTTCTGGACCATGGCCTGTTAGTCAAGGCAGTGGAGATGTTTGTTGGTCTTTGAAGATCAAAAATTGGATTAGATAGGAGCATCCGTAGTTGGCTTCAGTTAGTCCATCTTTTGAAATAGTTGGAGATGTGCCATGCCAGATGAAATGACAATTGCGTGAGCCCCCGTATTAATTTTATAACTTAGATATTAAAAATGACTAATACTCGTAGAATATCCTTCAGGGCCGTTTAAAATACAATTGTGATTATGTATACGTCCGCGTAACATAATTACGATTCTAAAAACAAAACCGGAGTATGCTTTCGCTCAACTTCGGCCCAAACTTTCTTAATAATAATAAAGCGTTATTAATTGTGGACACGTTCGCGTGACATGACTTTTGACGCACCAAACAAGCGGGTATACGTACGCGTAACCCGTTTCAAGATAATTTTCTTAATTAAAAGCGGTGAAAGAAGCAAAAGCATATAGGTTCTAAAATCAGTAATTAAACAATTTTAGTAAGCCAAGTATTATCAAAGCGACCGTGCTAGAACCACGGAACTCGGGAGTACCTAACACCTTCTCTCGGGTTAACAGAATTCCTTACCCGGATTTCTGGTTCGCAGACTATAATAACAGAGTCATTCTTTTCCTCGATTTGGGATTAAAACCGGTGACTTGGGACACCATAAATCTCCCAAGTGGCGACTCTGAATTTTTGATAAAATAATCCCGTTTCGATTGTAACTTCAAGTTGGAAATAACTCCTTTATTATACCCTTTACGGGGTGTAGTTGAAAAAGGAGGTGCGACAGTAATAAGATGAAGAGACTAACAAGTATTAACCATACATGTATGGCCAAGACATGAAAATTATTTTGACTTCCAATCAACTCTCTTCTTTGTTCTAGGTTAGTTCTTCATTGAAGACCCTGAGGGGACAAATATGTAGTCACTAAATCCATCATACCTTACTAAATAAACTTAAGACTCAATCAATCATAAAAGTAGAGTATACCAATGGCATATCTTCACCTTCTAGTCCTTACTTCTGTGTGGTTGACTAGATTTTGTACCTTTTTCCATACTTTAGACACCCAACACCATTTTTGACGCCAAACGCTATTTTAGTGTAAGATTTGGTGTTTTGGTTCTCCTACCCAATACCATTTTGGAGTGTGAATAGTATTGCACCAACTTTTACGTAACACTATTCATCAACACCATTGCTATTTATCAATATTTTATTAATATATTTTATTATATTCTAACACTTTTAATTTACAATATTATAAATTTTTTAATTACTACTTTTTGTCACGATCCAAATTCTACTATAGGCCATGATGGTGTCCAACATCGTTGTTAGGCAAGCCAACAATGATCAACTAGTGAATTCCCGTTTTAAATAAATTAGTAAGTGATAGCTTCTCCTTATTTGATAAAAATTTAGGAGTTTGAAATTTTAACATGAATAAATGGAAGCAATAAATACGAATCGTAATCATGTAAGTAAACTAAAATCATAAGTCTACTAGTGTGTGTGCCAAGACCTGATATCACAAGTATGTGGGCAATCTAGTAGAATATACAAAACCATGCTAGCCTACTGTCTAAAAAGAAATAGACAGAAAATGAAGACATAAGAGAGACTCTAGCTGCTGCAGAAGGGCTCAAAAAGGCAGCTCACCGGAAAGTCTCAAGCTGGGAAAATCAAGTCTACGCGCCGGACTAGTGGCCAGATGCACCTGCCTCAAATACTGTACAATCAAGTACAGAAGTGTAGCATGAATACATAAAAATATGTACCCAGTAAGTATCTAGTCTAGCCTCGAGGAAGTAGTGACAAGGGGTCGACTTCGGCACTTACTAGGGCCAACAATATAATAATGTGTGATTCTAAATAAGCATAATATACAGAACTAACAATAAAGCTAAGAACAAAAGTAACTAAACAATTCTTCCATCATATTTAAGAATCCAAAACACTTCCTTTATTTAAAATAAATGATATATAAAGCAGTAAATTTATACCAATTCACTTCCAGTTCTATTATCACACATAAATTCCACCTAGGACATTCGGCCCGATCCAACAT